GGGGGGTATGTGCGTGTTGTGGGGTTCTTGCCACAAGAGCAAGACTTTATAGTTATAAGAAATTTTGCTAGGTGTGGGGTTGCTGGATGTGCTAGATGGTTTTATATGTGATCTTTATACATACAAATACATGGATGAGAAATTGATCAGGATAAAAAGGTAACACAACTGTGCTTGTAAGAAATGTGTAGGCAGTATTCTTCCTAGTTCTAGTTGTTGGGTGGGAGTTATATTTTTGTCAAGCATATTTTGATAAAAAATAAAAGTCTACCCAGGGTAGAGATATGAATTGCACTGTTCCATACTTTGAGAAGTTTGTTATAGCATTTTATATTGTTATTTTTCAGAACTTGAATTATCCTTCAGATTATTGTAAAAAAAAAAACAAACAAGGCCAGTAAGCTTCATTTTATATGATATTTATATGTATTATGTTATGCAGGATTGTATATTATGTATTGTATTGCCTGTTTTGGGATAGTTCTAGTGCCATAGTGACCTAGCAAAACAAAGACCCATTTCACAGGACTTCAGACCAAATTATGGTCTAAACTATTGACCCTGGATAAATCGGCAGCAGTTTAATTAGATTAAATATTGTGCCTGTTTATAATAAGAGAGATTCTTACTGTTTTAGACCAATACTTACTCTATTTCAATGGACTATAACAGATTTGTACTGAATTTAAGGTTACAAATTTTTTATGAGAAATTGATACCACCATTTGGTCTTTTTTTTTAATATAGAACATTTAAACTTTGACAGTTGTATATTTACTATTTCCTACAATGCTTTTCTTGCACCCAATGAATTTGTAACTGAGGGCTTCTGCTAACTGTACTGTTCTCCAAACCAAAATTTTATTTAATTATTTATTTGTTTGTTTTTGTATGTTTTTTTAAAAACAGTGATACACAACTATTGAGTAGAGTTAATATACCTTTGCTTTGGTGGGTCTAGTTTTGGTCTGATCAGTTTCCAGTACAAGGAGAACCTGTTAAATAAGTGCAGCATCCAAAAAATCCTTTCCAACTTAAAAAAAAAAAGCAGATCACCACAAGTTGAGTTTTACTCAGTTTGCAGCTTGTTTTGAATAACTAATGATTAGATTTTAAATAAGTACTGCAGTAAACATTTGAATCATTCCTGAATGAATTTAGTTGGATTGTACATATTTATAAATAAATTTACATTTATTAATAATTTATAGAGTTTTGTATGGATTAATCTACCTTCTAGTGAAGGTAAAATAATTATTTTAAACCAATGCCTTTCTAAAAGGTAATTATGTTGTAAAAGGTGTGATTGTTGCTTCTTCCAGGCCAGTAAATATTGAATACAGATAGCTGCTTTCATCATTGATATTTCATTTGTGTTGGGAGATGTCAAACACTCACTGATGGACATAAATTGTAAGTTTGGAATTTCACAGTAGAGCAATGTCCTTGCTAACTTATCCTAAAACTGTAATTTTCCAATATTTTTATGATGATTTCAAGACTGAATTGAAAAACATTTCCACAAGTTTTATTCACTATTTTCCTCATTCGTTGGCTACGTCTCAAACAAAAAGTGAAAGTGAGTACTTGGTAAACAAAATAAATATCCCTTTATTTCTGTCTTTTGGTTCCCTCCCATTTTATGTCTATCTATGAGTGTCTGGTTTAGTCCTTCAGATGTTTTGATTTTAACACAAATACCTTTATACATTGAGCATATTATGTATATTCTGTAGGGAAATGTTACAAGAAGAAATAAAAAAATGTTATTAAAGATACCACAATTATCTATTTTTGAGCACTGCTGAATATTCACTTTTTACAAAGAATATAATTTCCCAATATATTTTTTGTCCAGTTCTTTCAGTTTTGATTTTAACTGTTAATTTGATATTAATTATTACTTAGTGACGTTAATGTCAACAATTCAAAATAATTTTTAATGAACATGATTTTCTACTCAACACTACAGTGTTCTATCTGTTCTCCTCTTTACAGTAAAGAGAAAAGTCTTACATGTATAGCCTTAAACTTTCATGGCTGAAATGTCTTATAATTTGTCTTGGGGGTTGGTCACTTTTGCTGCCATTGGAGATTGCCAGAAAGCTGCTCTATAGCATGTCGTCATGTCGACATATTTCTGTTTGTCCTCTGGATGGTCAAGCTCGGGTTGATGACACGGAAAGGTCCGAGGGTCTTTTTCTGAGAGGAAAGGTGAAGATGATAGATAAAGTAGAAAAAAATGAAAGATGAGATTATTACAAAGAAAAGAAGAGGTTTAAAGAGAAGTAACTGCAATGCTGGAGAAAACGAGAAATGAAGGCTGAAAGTAGAGTCTGGAAAGGAAAAAATAGAAAAGAATGAGGAGAAGACCCTAAAAGTGAAAGATAAATGGAAACGATAACAGCACAGTCACTCTGTGTATGATTCCATGCAATGGCTAAATAAGGTCAGCACATTTAGCCTATCCGTTCATTTTCTGTTCCTAATCCACTTGATCAGTTTTCAGTGAACTCTTTTAAATGGTCCGTCTTTGTTTCTCCGAAATGATCAAGCAAAGGAAACTTGCTTCTTCTGCGTAAAACTTTTCTCTGGCTGTGTCATCTGTATAGGGCTTTCCCTGTGGAGAGTTTGTTGTTGGTGGTAAAGGTCCATTAGTGAGGGAGTGCTGCCCTCTATAGGAGCACCAGCCAGAGCGGGCTGAGGAGGAATTTCTGGGGCACTTCCCATTTGCATTTGTCCCATGTCTGTGACAGGTGCAGGCTGAACTGGTGACAATGCTTTTACTGGGGACGTAGGTTTTTCAAGTGACACTGGTTGCACAGTCTGGGCTGGTGGCTCGAGGGGCTGTTGCCTTACTCTTGGATCACAGTATGATACCCTGGTGGTGGTTTCCCAACTGTTGTTTATTTCTTTGGCTGTATTTGTATCTAGTTCTGGTTGGTGGTGGGGAAATGCATTATGATAGCGCACTGAAATTTTGAACAGTTATTATTTGAACTGCGAGTTATCTTGGAAATATTACAGAGCATGAAAAGTTGATGCAGTTAATTTAATAATACTTAAATGTGCTACATTAATTAGGAATTGATTTTTTTTTTTTCATCTTTATTAAATGCTCATGTAGACAAAAAAAATCTTCAGAGTTGAATTGAAATCGGCCTCTGAACAAGGAAATAACAGACTGGTAATGAAGCGGTTGGTGTCCACATATATGACACAAAAGAATCTTATTAACTATAAATGTTCAGATCTTGAAATAAAATGGCAACTGATTTTACAGCATTATGAAAATTACTGACTAGCAAATGAAAAATAAAAGAATATACAGAAAATGCGTTCACTTATGTTCCATATGTAAATAGAATTTTAAAAAGCAACAGCTTACTGCATATAAAGAGATCCAAGGAAATGTAGCAATGATAAAATATGATAAAAAGAATCAACATAAAAATGTTAAGAATCAGTTTTCTTCACTGATTTAACCCCAAATTTATAAAAAAAATCTTTTAACTTACATTTAGACTGGCCTTTGACATTATCATAACTGGACGAAAAGAATAACAAAGAGTCATTCAATCATATTTATTGAAAAGGAACTTACTTTTCAGGTGTTTCAAGCTTTCTGGAACTTTCCTAGGCTGTGTATTGTGGGCTACTCCATATGTTGTCTCAAAATAATGATTATGCTAAAAAAAATAAATTAGCATGTTTTAAATGACTTTTTGATGGTCAAGTTAGGTATCACAATGTCTTCTCTCTCTTACTCTTTTTTTTTCTTCTTTTTTTGAGATTTCCCCTCACTTTTCTTCCATTGGAATTATTCTCAAATAATGTTCAAATATCTCATACATTTTTCAAGATTTGTCTTTCTAAGTTACTTTCAATCCTTATTTACAGGGACAAAAACGTTTTCGACATGTTTTGAGTTGCGTATATTTATACCAGTATCATTAACGAGGAATGGCTAAAATTGTTCAGTAGCTAAGGCATTACAGGGGCAGATCCAGGATTATTTGAAGGGGGGTCCTCAGATGCCAACCCTTCCCCCACCCCCCACCCCCCTACCCCCTTGGCGTGGGCTTGCGAGCCCTTTAGAGGGCCCTGAAAAATTTTGGTATTTTAGAGGGCAAATGGTGCCATTTGGTAAGGTTTAGAAGTATGATTCAGCTAGTCAAAATTCTTGGTGTGACTTTTTTTTCAGAAATTAAAGCGGGGGATCAGGACCATTCATAATTCATAATTCATAATGCAGTAGTGGATTAAGGGGAAGGGGGAGGCCCTTCCCCTTAATCCACTACTGCATTATGAATTAATAAGAGATCACTTCCAACCTTACCTGAGAGGGCAACCGCTGTGGAATCTTTTGTTTCTCAATATCATATCTCTCCTCATCCCAGTTGCCAATAAGAGTGTTGTTATTGTATGCATTTTCCTTGGTGGTGCATCTCCAACCAAACTGGGGAAAAAATAAAAATAAGAATTATTGCCAGAATATATATGACATAAATTATTTTAAATAGAAATAGAACAGGATTGAGGGCATGCATCTAAGAGATTAACTGAAATATTTTAATTTCAAAGAAGAAAATTCTGTTATCAGAATATGTGTCAGGAAGTTTGAATAAAACATGGGAGTACAAGTGTCTGGCGGTGGAAATAGTAAAGCTAGATATCCTGCATGTCTACTGCAGTTCTGGTATTACCAACTTAAAATTAAGAGGCTTACTTATTTCCAGCCTTGATCCTATTATGTTCGTCTGGCTTACATGTAATTGTATCAAAATTAGTTCTTAGGGCTGAAGCAGTCTTGAGGTGGATATACATTAAGTGAGCCGTTTACCTGTTAATTAGAAATTAAACTCACCTGGTCAAATTTCAGCTTATCGTGGGTGTGGGTCCAAACTTCAGCAAGCCCTGAAGAACGGATTATTGAGCGGAAAGGGGGGTCTCGACTGGTTTCTGCTTGACTCATCTTAAGTCTTTAAGAGTATTTGTCTCGTGCAATACTGTTTTCGCGTTTTTCCACACGCCTGCTGTTAAATAGCGCTATGTTTATGTGTGACGTCACAAATAAACGTACCCATAGAGACGGCCTTGAACTTTACCCAATAAAATGTAGACTACATGATCAAAATGTCTGTTGTCCCAAAACTTTAAAAAAAATAAACAAAACAATATATTGGAGTGAACTTTACGTGAAAGATTAAACAAAGCAGTGTGTTTTCCCCACTTTCTGGAACCAACGAAGCTAATCTGGTGATATGTGCATTTCGTTCTTACTTTAGTTTATAGTTTTCTCAAAAGATGGCGCAACCTTATTTCCTCTGCCGCATTATACCTGACATTTGTATATATTGAACAAATCCAAAAATTATCTTCCTTGTTTTGATTTGTTTTTAACTTTAAAAAAAAATCATATCTACTGTATTCATTCTACGAACAACTTCAATAAGTTAGCAAGTATCATCTCTGTTAATAATTAGGCCTATTACTGTAAAATGTTGACATTCACTCACTTTTTACCAAATTTAGAACAAAATAAAGATTATTATCGTAGGCCTACTGTGTCTCGTACATGAGCAGCATTAAAGAACTCACCATTTTCCGCTACAAAGTAGTTACAACCTTTAAGTAGAGTAAAAGACGTGAAGTTCAGCCTAGCTTACACCAATATAATTAGAGTGTGTTATTAGTATTTTAAAAAAATAAAAATAAAATAAACAGGAGAAGAAAATTACTTCCCGTTTTAAAATTATTATCCTCCCCCCCCCCCCATTTTATCTATATTACACACTGAAATTGGCATCATGTAGTATAACACGGTTAATAGGTTAATACAACAATGGCTTAGCTGAATCCCAACGTGATGACTGCACTTAATAAAGAAAAAGAAAAAGTAGATGAACCACTTTATACTCATGGTCACGTTACTTTGACTCCTGCCATTGTATGAAAGACAATATGGCACTTCTGGCTTTCCTTACCATAGGTCACGTTTTATAAGGTGCGTAATATAAGTGATCGTGTCTGTTCTTCCTAAAGGTCTTATTTCTATTATGTGCGACTAGAAAAAATTGAACCAATTTCAGGCCGTTATATGCTGGAATTATACAAAAACGGATGTAAATAATGACACGAGGCGGTGCATGTACTTTCACTATGACGTGCTCATGCTACCAATGGTATTTTTCAGGATGGCTTTGATTAACAAGATAAGTGCGTCACAAGTCGTTGATCAGGACTGATTAGAGCTAAATATTAAAGGTTGAAGGGATAACACCTGTTCATATAATATCCATATTTCACAATAAATACATTGTAAACCACTCATAGAAATATAATAAATTCTACTTTGCCACCAAAACGGCGGTTAACACAATTATTTTGGAATTTGTGGCTACACTCTGTAATAATCTCTTAAGAGAATTTTACAAAAAAAAAAAAAAATTTTTAGAAAAAAAAAAAGGAATAACTTCGGATATCGGATTGGATCCATTAACCATTTGTTTCAGTATGGGAAAATTGTCCTTTACCCCAGGAAAATCCTTTTTTTTTTTGGGGGGGGGGGGCAAAATGAACAGTTGTTATCCCTTTAATTATGTGTATTTTAAGATTGGCGTGTTTGTTGATATTTTTTCTTTTATAAAATGATTATTATGTGAAAGGCTATCAGCCAAATAGTGGATACCAAACTTAAATCCTAGTGTTTTTTTTTTTTTTTTTTTTTTCATCTACATTGTATTAGTAAGTCCGTTGATTCTGTACTTGATTTCTCGTCGTCTGCAATTCATATCAATATCACCAATAAACACTTATACCTTAGCGTGAAAAGCCCTCTCTTTTCTATTAATAAATGCATGGTGCGATAAGACCGAGACGTTTTTCGACCTTGTGTGATGACCATAGATAATTAACATATACGCTGCACAAGCTAGGAGGTTTATATATACAGCTCTTTGTGCTGAACATACACGCGCCTGCATTCTACATGAAACTTTTAGCCCGACATTGTTTGAAGCTACGGGTGACAAATTCCAGGAATATCGACAGACGCGATGATCCCAGAGTTTGCAAAATTTTAAAAGATGATTCCTAAAAATAGGTAACCCTCAGACTAGTGTTATGGGTGCAGCAAATATTCTATTTATCGATCGATCTGTTGCCCAAGAAAACGCTGGATATGCAACCCCCCCCCCTCACAACCCCCTCCCATACCCTCACCCCCCCCCCCCCCTTATCCGTACCCCTCCAGATAAACACGCAGAGCCGCACGCATTTTGAGAATATACGTCGATCAAGTATGTCATGTTGATATCTAAGAAAAACACTTTTTTGCTCAAGAAAATGTAATTCGATTTAATTCATGAACACACAATAATATTGTGATAAGGTTTCATGAATAATTAGTCTTATGAATACAGGGTCTACATGTTTGTTTCACTTGGGACCAACTCACGTGACGCGACGGACCCGCCCCGGGGCCCTGGATGCGAGCCCAGACAGATTTAGAATGGGCATATAAACAGAACGCTTCAGCCTTGTTGCAGCTGTCTTTCAAATTGCACAGTGAAGATATTTCAAATCTCGCATCAGACCCTGACGCATAAAAGCATTTTCTGATGCAGTTAAGCACAATGTAATCCAGCATCACAATAGACTGGGTTAGAAATAGCGCATAGTAACTGCATACAAATGTTATTCGATCTTTGGCGTGCTGCCACTTGCGTCCAAATTATGCAGCTCTGCCCACAATGAAGCGGATTTTGATTGGCTGTCGTACCGGTAAGGCAGGCCGGGGCATGGGCTTTGTGAGACAAACATCGCAAAATGTCAAAATTCTCCAAAGTTTATGGTGCAACAAAAGATTTAATGATGTCTTACTATGGATTTGACATGTGGACTATCATTGCACTAATTTTTTGGTGGAAATAGTGTTTTAAATTGACAAATTTTGTCCTCGAATGCAAGTGAAATTCATGTTGTGACGACGTGGGGGAAATGATTGAATAAACATAACATGTGACGATCATCCTAGTTTTAGCCAATCAGAAGGAGTAAAATCGTCTATGAAGGCCATGTGACTACAGATCGACCAATCAGCTGCAGATATTTCCAGGGCACTTGCTCATTCACCTTTTATAGTGACAAGTCGGGATTTTCATGAAGCTCGAGCCAAAAAAGCAGTGCAATTTCACCTCCGAAAGGACGTTTTGAACTGATTTAAGGTACCAAGTGTTTACTATTTGTGTTTATGAATGAATGAAGTGTACGTACGTGTCTTTATCAGTTGATTGATCAGTGATCGAACAGGTATTTCGGAGATCGAAATGAGGGTGTACTCGAAGGTGTGCAAGAAAAAATCCCCTTGATGCCGTGGTGATCGTTCGAGTAACATTTACTGCGTAGATTTCAAGGTATATGAATTGATTCACCTTTACATCAATGGGGAAATCTTTTTTACGTACATGGGCATGGTTTGATTGCTATATGCAATCATGAGCATTGTGTAAAAAGGGTGCAATCTTTTACGAAACGGAAGTTCTTTGTGTCGTGTTTTTTAGGTCGAATACCAACAGCTGGAGTCTTGACTGTACATAAGACACATTCGGACGTACTGCCACTAAAACTATGTCTTCGAAATGGGCGGTTTTAAAATGCCATGCTGCTTAAATCATAATCAAGACTTTGCATACATGAATTACTTTGCCTGGCCCAGCTAATGAAATAAATTATATACATCGTTATCGGAAATATGCGTGCTTCTCGCTGACCTAATTTCCTGCTCGAATATTACTACACGGGGCACCGCAACCTGTGTAATGTCTAAAAATAGCCATTGCTAAATGAAATTCTAATGCTGCTGTTTTTTTATCGGTCGTAACTCCTTACTTAAAGGTTGTGTGAAACTGTCACCTAAGGTTGATAAAGTTATGAAAATTTATTCATTTCCTTATTTTCATTTTTTGTAAAACAGAGATTCATAGAATGTTTTATCAACTTAGTAATCAGTTTGTCAGATAATTTCTTATAGTTTTCTTTAGGAAAACCTGTGTCTTCGGCATATTAATAGAGGGCAAGAATTTTATCCACATGTTATTTTTGTGGTCCCTTTTAGAGTCTTTCTACACTAGTGTTTGCTACTTCCCTTAATCTATCTCCTGACTTCTTGGAAGAGTGTTCTGTTTCCTATAATTACAATATTTGTGAAAATAATGGCATAGATTTACTGTAAAGTGAGGCAAATATGTTTTCTTTATTTTCAGAATTCTTTGTTATGTTATGCCATGAACAGGCGATCCTCCGCCAAGCGCACTCGCAGCAACTCCCCAGCCATGAGGAGCAGATCTAAAAAGAAGAATCCTGCTGGTTCTGACCAGGAACATGATGCCAAAAGTGAGAATGGAGACAAGGAGGAGGAACAACAGAAGAAGGCAGCTCCTGGACTTAAAGATACCCCTGAGCATAAGAGGGGCCGAGGAAGAGGCAGTGGAAGAGTTAAGCGCAACGAAACCAGCAGTGATGAAAGAGAAGAGATGTCAGCTTCTGCTACTCCACCTACAGTTCATGACTCTCCTCATTTCAGTCAAACTCCTGGGGATTCTGGGATTGAGAAGTCACCTCCAGTTGTAAAAGATAAGGAGAGAGAAACGTTAACATCTAAGGAAAAAGAGACTGAAAAGACAGTAGAAAAAGAGCAAAGAACAATCGCCAAGCCTCCCAAAAAGAGGAAAGGTGCAGAAGTAGAGCATGACATGACGCCCCCTCCTCCACCTGTCAAGCGCCCTCTAGTGGACTTCAAGGAATGGAAAGGGCACAGGGTTCTTGCCAGAAAAGATGGTGCATATTACCCTGGTATGATTAAGACTGTGAAACACAACAGGATCCTGGGTGTTCAGTTTGATAGCGATAAGAAAATATTAGAGTTTAATGTGTCTGATTTCCCCAGCAGTAATGACTTAATTAGTGACCATAGCCCTCCCGCCATGACAGTGTTCGCAGGATCGCAAGTGTGTGTGCGTGGAAATACAGAAGAGACTGTATTTTACGAGGGTGAAGTTATGGAGAAGAAGCTCTCTCCTGTTAGCTACTGTGTGAGAATCACATATCAGGATGAGAAGGGGCAAGGCACCAGACAAGAAGTCTTGTGGGTATCAAGGGCCAACATCCGTCTGTTACAACCTCCGTGGCATGAAGATTTGGAAGAAATTGGTGCCAGCATGACTCAGACTGAGGAGACCAGCAATCTCGCACAGCCAAAGATTCCCCCATTGCCCCCTGCAGAACCTCAGCAGCAGTATATCCACCAGCCCCAACCAAGCCCCACCCAGCAGGGCCCCTCCCCTAAGCCACCATCAGAACAAAAGGTGAAAATAAGCAATGAGATTCAGCTTGCAGAGAAAGAAGGCAGTGATTCCTCGGACGATGAAATTAAAAATGACATTTTTGCTTTTGAACCAGAAAGCACTCCCACCTCTCGATCTGCCACTCCTGCAGCCACTGTGCCGAGCATCAAACCCATGGTTACCACTGTGCAACCACCAAAGAAGCGTGAAGCAGCCAGGAGCAAAAGTGCACAATCATCTGAGAGTCGTGCTAGCACTCCACGATCTCCAATAACAGCACAGAAATACAAGAAGGGCGATGTGGTATCTACACCAAATGGAATTAGGAAAAAGTTCAATGGAAAACAATGGCGGCGACTTTGTTCAAAGGAGGCCTGCACTAAAGAATCACAGAGGAGAGGGTATTGTTCAAGGCACCTATCACAAAAGGGCAATCGCCTGCGTCCTGGCAATCTCTCATATCCTGGTCGTGATGGCAAAGACTTAGATTGGGAAGATCAAGATGATGACATGCCATACGACCACTCCAGATTTGACATGGACGAGAAAGAAGCTGCAAACATGCTGGTGTCGCTGGGTAATTCACGATCAGGCACTCCAGCCTTCTCTCCGACCCCTGTACAAAACCCAATATCACCCCATCATGGAGCTCTAGGTCACTCCCCGTATCCACCAGTGGGGTACAGGTCCGGGAACACCTTTGCCCCCATCTCTCCCCACCCCCACACCCCAGGTTCCCTGCTAGCCTCCGCACACCACTGGAATGCAAGCACACCCAAGGGTGGGGCCATGGAGCTGATGTCCCCAGGGGGAAGACCCTTACTCGGTCCCGCCCCTAACTATGGGATCATGCACTTGAACTTCAATTCCCCTCCGAGCCCAAGCAAGGTGCGGCACAGCTCAGAACCACAGCGGTTTTTCCCAACTAAGGGTGAACACCATTATAGCGAAGGAGGGGATTCTGGGATCGATGTCCAGACACCATTGTCCACCCCCGTGACCCCGGGGCATTCCATCCTATCGACCAAGGGCAGTAGCAGTGGTGGTGGGGGAGGTTTGATGCGATCTCGTGAGCTCAGCACAGGGGCGCCTCCTGGAGGGCAGTCTAAGTACACCGCCCCTCTAACCAGTGGTGGCACTGCTGGTAGCACAAGTGGGAGCGTTCTCCAGCAGAGCCTTCTCAGCCCCGCCCTTAATGCCCCGCAGAGTCATGCTCCACAGGTGGTTCAGAGCACCTCTGCCATGGAGGCTCTGAATAGTTTGTTCAGTGTGGTTCAGAAACAACAGCAGCAGCAGCAGTTGCAGCAAGACTGCAACAAAAATACAGTGCATCTTTTATCATCAACATCGTCGACATCATCAGGAGCAATAACAACAACATCCACATCAGCAATAGGAACACAGGCAGCATCAACTCACCCGGCGACCAGTGTGTCTGAGAATAAAGTGGTGGCTCTGCAGACACCGGTGGCGCAGCTGTCTGTGGTCACCAGTCACCCGACCCCCGCCACACTCCTGCCAGTAATGCCCCTGGTCAACAGCAGTGACAAAGAAACCAAGACCATTACAGGTAAGACATTTAATTTTATTAGATATTTAACACTTGCAAATCCCAAATCCATGATTTGATGTGGGAATGGGGCTGAAGGAGTAGCACAAGTATGTCTTATGATTTTTTTTTTTGTTTTTGTTTTTGTTATACTATTCAATAAATCATAGAAAGTAGACTAATACATCAAGGGCTGTGTAGGAGTTGACTATACCAGGGGCTCTTAAAAGATTGCAAATGTGCCTATTATTGTAATTGTAATTATTATTTATATAACACTGGGCTAAAATGTGGTGTGACTTCAGACATTATATCATTTTTCATTGTGGGCATAAAGAAAAGATAAATATGCCATTCCCAATGCTTGACATCATGCTCATTCGAAATGAATACACCTGGCATGACAAGCATGTGGAGCATCCAAAAATAGAAAAATGTTCAAATTGTGTAATAAATATCTGTGAAACATGATGACAAATGAGTAAGATTACTAATTTTTTTTGTCAAATATCACTGATCGTATCATATCATATATATGTTAAAACTAGTCATGATTTTGATGTGATTTTCGTTCTGAAAAATACCAACTGGTGTCATTAAGCTAGTACAAAATACCAAAAGTGCAAGTCATTTTTCATTTTTTATTTCAAGAAAGCAATGTTCCACACTGAAATGTTATTTGACACTCTGTGTGAGCCAAAGTTCAAGGAAAATGTCACTAAATACTTTACACTGAGCTTTACTGGGTTAATCAATACATTGCAAACTTCAATGAAGAATTATTTATGAACAGGCTGCCTCAATGAGTTGTTCCATATATAATTCTCCTTGATGAAAATGCACCGATTTCAGGTTTTATTCCTCACACTGGGTCTTCTACTCATTGAGGTCCACTGTCCTAAGCTGATTGTCGAGTAAAAGGCCAAGTTCTGGGTCGGTTTTTATGCAAGTGGACTTAAAGGACCTGTAGAGTTTTGTCAGTCTCTGTGTGTAAATAGAGTGCAGTCAGGTCTTGCACAGATGCAGTACCTGTCAATCTCCCTCTCTTCTGCAACCTGATTGGCCTACGGCAAGAATGAGCGGACATATCTTAAAGTAGGAGGTGCTAAGAAGCCAACCAACCAATAAGAATGAGGAGTGCTACATTTTGATTGGCTATTTGTGATCTCATTGGTGATGTCAGCATAAATTATGATAATAGATCAGCTGACTGTTCACAGGTGTAAGTGAGCTGTTTATTTGGGCCTGAAAGGAAATCGACAGTGTTTTTATATTAGCAGTATTCTCTCTTTCTCCATTTACAAAATAACATTAATATAATATGGCATAGCTGAATCATCTCTGGGCTGCTGTGGTTTCTACCTCGTGTAATGCTTGAACAAAAGCTCCACTATATTTAGACACAAATCCATTATCTTCAGCTGACGGGGTTATTTATATAGCCAGCCCCTAGAAGCTAAAGGTGCAGCAGTATAAAGTGGACACATTGACAGTTTCACATGTGTGAGTCTGTAACAGCAATCTATACAAATCCAGGTGGAGAGTTCTGTAATGTTGCTAGGAGATGGGAGAACTGTTGTATATATACAGAGAGAGAGAGAAAGGGGGAGGAGGCCTACTGTGATTGTTTAATTAACATACTCATTGAAAAAAATTATTTACCTTGTTGGATTTTTGAAAGAAGTATAAATTTGCAATATAGGTGTAATTAATAAAGTTCACTGGCAGTCATTATTTCTGTTGCTCATACTTAAACTGAATAACAAATGAATATTGCACAGAAATGCTAAGACTTAACAGGTTTGGTTTCCTTTTACTCCAAAGAGAATTAAAGCTTCCTCCACTAGTGCCATTAATGCATGTACCTGTTACTCCTTCTAGATCAAGATATATATCATTATGTGGGGTTTCTTTAAAACAGTAACCGTGTTCATCAGAGTCTTAATTATATCTCAAGAAGATTCTCTGAACACACTAAAAGAAAATGTCAAGATAGTAGATCACAGGAATTCTAATTAATGGTAATATAGTTAGCAATATCCTTTGTTCGGGGAAACTGAATAAAAAATATTACCATTAACAAACTACAACAAAAGCTTCTGGCACTGGAAGCCCCCCCCCCCCCTTTCCCCCACCAAAAAGTGATTTTTATTAACTAAATTTGCTAACCACCAGTTGAAAAGGGTTGGGTATGGAAATACATGCTATGGTTCTCAGGGCCAAGCATTTGGGGGAAAAAAGAGGCATTTGAGTGCTATCTCTAGGAAGAAAGCAGTTGATAATTGTGATCCTATTCATAATATATCTGTAACCTAGTCTTCCACTCATGATGTTGTTTGCTTAATAACATGGAGATTACATATATGAAGTTATACTGTAAAAGGGCAAACCTGAACGCGGATCAAATTCAACACAGAAAAACTGTGTGCAACCATGAACAGGATGAAGATTAACATCTACTGGTACAGGATATTCTGTATCAAGCTCCAAAACAATATAATCTTTATAACAACCTACAACGTTGTCATCTTGTGGTGAACATCATGTTCCATGCTTACTATGGATATCAGGCCTGTAGCCTGGTGGGGATCAGGGGTTCGAAAGAACTGCCCTTTTTTTAGCTGGGAAAAGGTCCCTTTTAGGTAAATTTTATCTTGGAATAGAAGGTTTCCTGGTTAAAGGTCCATTTTTTTCAGAAAAAGAACCCCCTTTTGAAATTTTTGGCTGTGGGCCTGAATATTTATACACAGAGCATATAATAAACATCTTCAGTTTAATAATAGAAGGGCACATTACGTGATGCTTTTGGCACTTTGTGTTATTGAAGAAATGTGAGAAACAAACAGATTTAATTAGAACAGATTTTACTGAAGACATTATTAGTTCCACTGAAGAACATAGAGTCAGTTGCGCTATGAAAAATTTCCATGTTTGCTGGGTGATGACAAAATGTAGATCCAGTTTGAAAATGTGCAGTGTATGCTAGCACTCTAACACCCCATTTCCATAGATTTTTAGATCGATCTATCCCTGTGGGGAGTCTCACTAGATAATTGTCAGCTTGGCAGGCTTAAGCGTCTGTCCCGCCTACTAAAAGCTGTAAGGGGGTAATTAACTATGGTGCCCGCTCGGCTGACTGCAATTTAGCGTGAACCCCCTGGGAGTTAGGTCGATCTAAAACTTAATCTTTAGATCGATCTAAATCTCTGGGAAAGCACCTTAAGAGAGCATTCAGAACAGATGATCCGCGGACATGCTGATTCACAGACTAAATATAACCAACCCGACATAAAAGAATAGCCGACTAATCCACTGATTGTTTCTCCACCTCCGTACACACCATCAAAATGAATTAAATCACAGCTCCAAGGTGTAATTGCTAGACCCCTGCAGGGATGGCGGGTGTGGAAGCGGGGAGACTATCAGTGGATTAGTCGGCTCTGCTTTAATGTTGGTCAGCCATATTTGATCTCGAATCTGTTAGTTGTAGATCAAATTGTTCTGACTGCCCCCTTTAGCACTATGTGCACTATGTGCATGTATTATTTCAAATGAAAAAAAATTATAACATTTTTTTTTTTTTTTTTTTTTTTTTTTTTTTTTTTTTTTTTGAGGACGCTTTGTTGCTTGACGACATACGATTGGTACAGCTTGATGGCACCCAACGCCTTGATACAGTGCACTGCACATTTAGGCAATTTCTTGAATCTCACCTGGTCCAGTTGTATAATGAGCTTTAGCCTTACAATTTAGATTGAACTTTAAAACTTTTTTTTTTTCTACTGGACCCAAGATAAATCAGCTTTTGTCCACTGAAATGATGTATTGTGCCCATTTTAAACAAAAAAATACATGGTTTCAAAGCTATTCTTTATAAAGTGGACTGTTGCGAATATATTATGAACCGAAATAGACCTTTTTTTTGTTAAGTTTGAGAACAATTTTCATACCAATGTTTTAAAGAAACTGACCCCAGATCTCCATGGTGGTTTGTAAAATTTAGCCAAGGTGGTGTTCCACAAAGGAGGTGTACTCTTAGCTTAGCCTGGGAAGAATCTCATTAGCAAACTTGTATTTGAGTTGTATTTTGTAATGAATCTCTATGGTAGCTTGCTTTATGTTGTGGTTTTAAACCTAAGCAATTTGATCGAATTCTCATTGCCATGGCAATAATTTCCATTCACATTGGTGACTGTATTATTCAAGATATATAACCAAATAAGAAATGTTATTAAAATGTTCAGTGTTTTAAAATGAAAAGGAATACCCCTAAAATTTATTGTACATTTTCTTTATCCAAACAGGTGAATTTAAACAATTATGGAATATAGTGACTGTTCATGGCATAAATGATATTCTCTAGGATTGCTTTCATGAAGTTCACTGTAGTTTTTATCTTTATCTATGTCATTTACAATATGCCCTTTCACATTTTGCTGATTAAGATGCATTTATGTTAGATAAAGGGCTGTGCTAAAGATTTTTTTGTTGAATTAAGAAAAAGCAATGGTGAGGTCCCAGGGGTTTCTCTTTATTGGGTGCATTTACACTTGACTTAGTCTAGGCGTTTGATGCAACTGGGTAAAGCGTTTTGTTACCAGCTGAATATAATAACCTTCTGTTAAATTTTTTATTTTTCATTTTAAAACAAATTTACCTATGACTGAATTAAATTGCAGAGATATTTTACAATGCAGTCCATCCTATTCTTACCTTGCTATATTATATTGGATATTCTTTGATATTAATTTGGAGGAAAATCTGAAACCAAACATGTTAGCAAAACATATAGATAAGATATCTGGAAATAACAGAGGAATTAGTTATGGTTATGGAAAGGTGTTCATATTAATGCACGACCCAGTCACAATGATAAATGTACTCAGTGGCATCCAGATTGCTAATAGTTTAACCTTTCTGAACTGCTGGCTAGGGCCTTTGGTTTGGGAGTGCATCAAAGTGGAAAGTGCGGATGATGTCATAATGTCGAAATTGATCCAATATCATACTTCATTAAGCAGCTTCAGTACTGGGTTAATGTAAGGGTATGTGCAGACGAGATCTTTCTGTATTTTTTTTTTTTTTATCCGACAGTGTATCTAAAATGTTTCAGTAGTTGCCTGGGTTACAGTACTTGGATCGTTTTGTGAATATGAGTCTCGGGTGTACTGGAACCTTTTTGTAATTCACAAGTGATGTACAGATAGCACCAGACATATTGTATCATAAGGGTTCACATCTGCTGCTGTGCATGTATTTTGTTCCCCTGCCCCTAAACAGTCAACGTATAATGATGAAATAATGATCAGAATTATTATTATTATTATTCCAGGTTATTTAGCTATCAATGCTGGATTGTCACTTTTGCCAGCTCCCTTTTTTTCTGCTTAGTAAAGTAAAAAAAAGTTGTGCAATTCATGGAAAATACTTTTATCATAAATATTTTAGTTTTAGAGTTTGGTCCAGGTTAACAAACCTTAGGTGAGAAACCAGCTGAAATAACTTCATGGGCCATAAAATCCAACATGGAAGATTATTTTGATGCCCCTGGAGGACCCTTGGGTGGAGGGTGCTCAGAAGGGTGATAATTAGGGCATTGTTAATTGGCTAACTTGTGTGGTTTTACATGGTGTTTAGATGGGCTCTTAGGATTGCCACATATACTTTATATTTTCCAGATTACATATAAATTTGCTTGGGCCAGACAACAACAACGTGGTATTTTGTGGAAAAAAAATCATGGCATCTTGCAAAAAAATATGTAAAATATTTTGATTGCATCAAAAATGCAATTTATTTGTAAATGTAAAATTTGTAGATATATTTTTCAATTTTATTCTTATTCTTTTTAGTGATTCCAGGGAGTTTAACAGGTGGTCAGATTCCAGTGTTTCCATGGCATTCCTTGGTGCCCTTTCTCACTCATGCAGGTGCACCACAAGAGGGCAGTGCAAAACATGAGGCTCCCTCTTTACCTGCACCCACCCAAGACAAGCAAGAACCAGAGGAATCAACCAGTAAGTTATTACTTCACTGAAATCACATTAGATTAAATAAAACGCTGGATAGATTTTTTTGGTAAATAAGCAATAATAATTTTTTTACAGGAACATTGCTAATTTAAAATTTTCTTTAACCAAACAAATCAATTTCTAACAAATTGGGAATATATTTGTTAGTGTAAGCCTCTTATAATTTTTAAGGTAATGAATGAATGAAAAAAAAAACTAATTCTTCTATATTTTTACTGTAACAGAAAAGCCGCCACTTGGTAAAATCAGTGGCATATTCCATGGAATGATCAGAAATATTTGAAAATAATCTGGATCTAGTGGGATTTTCATTCAAACCAAAGCATAACTGCTGATTTCTCTTTGAGCTTATGCCTCGATGCTCAAAACTCCTTGAAGAAAAAAAAAACAGCCAATCTTTTTACCTTTCAAACAGAAACAAAGACATGCAAACCAATGAATATGAGCTGCATTCAACAAATAGTATACACTTGTTCAGTATTAATCATTTTCATTTTGATGGCCTTGGCCTTTTTTTAAGAAGCTTATAGTTCTCCTGGATATCTGCTGTATGCAAATTTGATTTTTGTATGAGTTGAATGTCATAAATAACTCACATTATCAAATACTAAAAATGTTAATGATTTTACAAAAATTGACACATTTTTAAGGAGCTATAAAAATTAAGTGCTGTCTTGGATCCTAGGTGCTGTGAAAAATTGACAAAAGGAAATTATATGTTAGTTATAACTCTACTGTTGTTATTATTTTTTTCCCCAAGAATTTCCCGTCAAATTTCGTCTTCATGTTAAGTGTACATTAATAATAAGAGAGAAGTAAAAAAGGTAAAATGTCATCAAAAGACATTATTTAATCTCTTCTGCCTTTTTTTCACATATTTCTCAACTTGTACTGCCTGACAATTCAATAGGTATGTGTCATGAAGTGCAGTATTTGTCTGACACTGTGTCTGCAAACCTCGGCCTTGACTGTGGAGGCTTGCTGTCATGTGCCTGCTAACACAGCTATTCATAAGAAGCCCAGTCTAGATGACTAATCTCCTTCTTATGAAAGAAAAGATGATGGCAAGAGACAAACAGAACTGTTAATCTCCTTTATTTCTTCTTCACCTTGTTTCTTATAGTGTAAGCTCCAATAAAGGTAAATTGATACTGAAATGTATTTAGTGATCCAAACTTGACTTGTGGAAGGGCATACGGATATATGCTGGGATGGGGAGGGTGGTACCACCAATGATGGTGCCCTCCCTTTTTTTTTGCCCTAGTTGTTTTATTGGCATACATGTTATAAGGCACATCTCTGCAGGCATATGTGCCAGAAAATTGGGGAAATGAAAACGAGGAGAAAGCCCGCAGGCACCAGCCCAGCAGTGAGCCACCTACAGTCATGCAAATCAAAAGTCTTAAGTAAATATGCTTTTAGAGTGAAGGTCTGTTCAGACATGAATGATCGTGTTAGATCGATCTAGGGATGGAAACCCAGTCTATGATCCAGACTTGGAAATCAAAAACCCGTTTTTTAAAGTGATCTACTGGCAACCACAGTTACCTGCAGCATGTGTAGGTGTTTGGTTTGGAATTGTCATTGTAACCAAAAAAAATCAACTGAGTCAGCTTGTTGAGGTTGGCTTGACATTTTACACAAGTATGACATTCTCTTTAGATAATAATTATTTCCAGGAATTTTATCATCGTTTGTCTACTATCAATGTTAAGCCATACGCTTTTAGCAGGTTGACCATGTGACTCATGGATGCTATGTGAAAAGTATTGATTTATCATAATTGATAAACTGAGGAAAAGGATGTGAACATGATCTTCACTATATATATTTAGTTATAATGAATGATTCAAATCTAAAATTTGCTGGTTTGGGGGAATGCTTTTAATGACTAGTTGGTTTCAAGCTGCAAAAGTTCATATTAAAACAAAAAGGGTATCATGGAATAGTTTCATTTCTCCCAGAATTGTTCTTTACAGATATTTTGTCATTATTTTGTCATATCATATGAAGAGAGTTTACCTTTCGGCCTTTATAAATGAAAAAAAAAGATCATAAAGATGAGACAAATTTGGTTTTAATAACTTTTGCTTGCTTGTGAAAAGATTTTAATGAAAAAATACCATTCTTGAGAAATGTTTTTAAACCATTTCTAATTGAAAGAGTAATAGCTTTGAATAAAGAATAAGAACAGGTAAGTACACATGTACTTCAGTCTTTTTTTTTTTTTTTTTCAATCATAGTGCATTCCCCTTGCCTTTTGCAGTTGTTTTCTTTTACTTACAATTTTTTTTCACCAGTTTCTTCATCCCACTTACTTTAAGCTGCAGGTTAAAATTGTCCTATGTAGAAAACTACATTATTTGATTCTGCAACCAGCTTGCTTTGTCAAGCATGGCAGATTTCAAATCTGCCTGGATTTCAATCTTGGCTGTGATATTTATATATAATTTAAAGCTTTATAATCTCTTTTTTATCTTATTTCTTTTAATCATTTGTGCCACTGTAATATTGTCATCATCTGTAAACACTTCATTGGTGGCATTGCTGGTACTACTATTTTGTTATCATCATTGTTACAAAAGCAGTATTTCTGCAGTTGTTATACAATGATCGTTAGTGCTCCAGGGGCATTGTCTGTTCATGTAACAGTGCAATTTTGTTCTGTACCGTTGTCACATAATATTTGAGGTTTTTATGACAGCACAATCCAAGGGATGTAAGGCATGCGCTGCCTGGAAATTTCACCATTTTTCCCATAACCACCAAGGTACACCATACCCTAAAATATTGACAGAATTACCATCTCCAGGGGTGGAGCCAAAGATATTTTCTGACAGTCTTCCAAATTATCTTTGTCGATCGATCTTCCATTTTTAACCGCCTTCTGACAGAAAAAAAAAACTAGATACCCTTCAACGTAAACATGGAAATCTGACTGTTTTCTGGAAGACCCAGAAGACGGCCTCAGTCCGCCCCTGATCTACAAATCCATTTTTGAGGTCTAAGTTTCTTAGTTTGGAATCACTGTCATAATTGAGATAGAAAATAGGATATTAAATTATGTCAGTTGGAAATAAGAAGAGCTTGAAAACATTTGTATAGATATGATTTACTCAATAGTTTAAAATAGAGAAAACTTTGGTGATAACAGGAAAAATGGATGAAATTAAAGAAAAACATTTTACATCTATGATCTACATACATTTTAAAGTTTAATACATCATTTAATGAAATGTGACAAAATTTGTACGAAAAAAATTTGGCATTGATTATAATTATGGCAAAGGCAACTGCGTTAAGGAGGAGTGTTTTTAATGGTTGAAACTCTCAGTGAAACTTGAAAGTGATAATGCAAATCAACCCCTCTTACATGGACCCCAGATACCTATAGCTGTTGGATCTATTATGTGGGAAGAAGCCAGTGAGTGCAATGCAATTTATTATGTATGCATGGTATCTGGCCAAGGGCCCTGAAGTTGAAGGCCCCTAGATGAGACTGCAGAGCATTCTGTTAAGGTCTCTCCCTGTCTTAGTATTCTGTGGTCCTTCAAGACTATGGCTTTGTTGGGGGAGGGGGGGGAGCTATGCAATTTGAAGCATTAGTTTATAAGATTTTGGCTCAGATGAGGTTTCTGCACCCTGTGTTGGACCAGTTAAAATTGTTATTTAATTTGTGTGGTGTTCTTTGCATGCATGCGTGTGTGTGTGTGTGTGTGTGTGCATGTTACGGGAATCCCCACTGAGATCAGTCCATAAGTAGAGACAAGAAGATATTGTTTTATAAAATGTAGCAACAGCTTAAGTCTCCATCCCAAGCTGAAAGTGGACAAGTGCCTGCAATAGGGTCCTCAAAACTACACCTTAATATTGCTCTGTACTTTAATTAATGCATAGCAGAGTGGACATTATATTGATTGTTTAAAGTTGGTGTTCATGAGTATCTGGCCCTGAAATGGATTGCTGATGTTTTATTAAATGCAGTTAGGGTTGGTGGTGTATGTTATAGAATTCAATTACCAGTTCACCTCAAGGAAAGTTCACTGATAGTCTCTGTGTAAATTGAATTATTGGCCATCTAGTGGACCACTTATCTCCACTCCTGGTTCAATACTTGGCAGATGCATGGAACTTTGTCATATAGCTGTGTTCACATGAGGACTGTCTTGAGTCGTGTTTTCAGGCAAGATGGGTTAGCCCTCTTTATAAGTCTTATCTCAAGCCCCCTTAACACTGGATGGCATCCAATGCATATATCCTTTCTGCGTCTCGTAGTACGGCCCAATTTGAGAGAAAAAAAAAACTTTACGTGCTGACAACTGGTCAATCTTTGTGCATTCATTCTGCAACCAAAGCGATGCTTGTGTCTCCTCTCTACAACCACAGCAATGCCAGTTTAATGGCTGAACGATGCAGAAAGGACACTGTTCAGTGTAACAGGGGTTTTAGCAGGCTACATGATAACTGTTAGCCTACTAATGCAGTTTAAAGTCACATGACTTTCAAGAATTACTGTGGGGGTTATCTGGATAATCACAGATATAAGAATTATAATAATTTTATTGTCTGTATGTTTAACTGTTTCTAAACAAAAGTGTATTGGGGTTCGGTCTTTATGAGATAGGTTGAGCCAACTTCACAGGAAACACAGCTTTTGACTAAAATTAGTTTCAGTAGTATCATCAGTTGATGTTCAAATATTGGAACACATGATTTTGAACTTGACAAAAATATTTTTTTCTATTTTTCCTGAAATTTTGTTTAACACTCATTTCTTTTAATGAGTCCATTACTGAGAAGACATGTCAATAAAACCACATTTGTTAAAATTATGGGATTTTCAAACAAGGTTATTTATTTCAATGTTTCAAAGGAATTCACATGTAAGAATAAGTTCTAAGCATTGTTTATCTTTAAAAAGATTTAATTTAAAAAATGGTGAATTAAAAAAAATGAATACAACAAAAATCCCATGCACTAGAAGACCCTTTTATTACGAGCTTTTTTTTTTTACCATCATTGGAATGCAGCTCATGTACATTAAACATCAATGCACAATACCTGCATAAAAAAGTTTGTGGTCTTATGTCACTGTGTATACTATACATTCTATATATAGTATCCATGGCAACATAGCAAGAGCTTTTAGTAGGTGGCAGTATTATGTAGAACACGAAACATGGTTGCCACCTGTTGATGTATTTGGCAGGTCAAGTGCAGCTAAAATATAGTCTGAAAAGAATTTCATCAGCTGTGTTATGTAATTAGAATAAAGCAATTTTTCTTCAATCAGCAGCTTAATGTTGAAATAGTTTACCTCCAGTATTATATATTTTAAGAGGTTACATATTCACTTGGATAGCCTCAGTCTTGATGAAGATGTTCTGTTAGACATCGAAATACTGAAGGTAAACTATTTTAATATTAAGCTGTTGATTGAAGAAAAATTACTTAATTCTTAGCTAAAATATGGTTTTGGGAAACATAAGTAAATCAATTTTTGCTGGAGTTCTTTCCGTGATAATCATATATATTATGTCCAGTAAATCCACTTGTAAGAATGCACTGTGCTTATTGATGTAGTCAGACAAGATCAGTTTGGACTGGTTTAGGTCTAAATGGCATCCACAGGTAGCACAATTACTCCAGGTCTCCAGTCATTTGTTAAATCAGAGACTCATATTTTGCAGCACTTACAAAAGAGGAAGAAGAGGAGGAGGATGACGATGTGTTTGTGACAGCTCCAGTCGAGCCCATATCCCTGTCCCCTTCAAAAAGGCGCTCACAATCTCTTAGTGCACTTAAAGAGCAAGGGGAACCAAAAAGTCCAAGAAAGGTACATGTTCTTTTAAGTTGGAGTCATGCTGGCATTTCTAAATGTTTTTGTAGACTGCAGTGATCATAGACGTTTTATAACTAGTGCTTTCAAAGGACACAGGGACCCCCCGCCCCCCCAAAAAAAGTTGATGGTTCTGTCAGAGCAGGGGTTGTGACATCCATTTTTCTTCTTTTTATTTCATCTTAACAATTTTTCACTACAAAATTATAACTGAAAAAATTGATGAGAAGGACTAAGAAAATAGAAAAGGGATTTGATATATTAGCCAGACGCATATTGTATTGTAAACTAATTTGGGTGAATCAAAAAAAAAATTAACAGCTAATATTAAATGTTTCAGAAACTGCATGTGTGAATTTGATATTAACCAAATTTCATCAATTTTCATCACAGATCAAAGAGAAGGATCACATTCGTCGTCCAATGAATGCATTCATGATCTTCAGCAAACGTCATCGTGCTCTCGTCCATCAGCGACATCCAAATCAAGACAATCGCACAGTGAGCAAGATTTTGGGAGAGTGGTGGTACGCTCTTGGTCCGAGAGAGAAGCAAAAATATCATGATTTAGCTTTCCAGGTAAGAATTCTGCCTGTAACTGGAAACTGATATTCGAAACTTGGTGACATCTTGCATTTTTCTACAAAATACATTGAAGAGAATGTATCATGGAAATTGTTTTCCGTATGAGTTATCAACTTTTTTGTTGTCCTTGGTGATATATTTCTTTTTTGGCAAAGTAGGCACATTTCTTGTGTCACGCAAAAAAAAAAAAAAAAAAAAGAAAATGGTTTCTGAAAAGACTGAGTGTGTGTTTCTACCTGTGAGCAAGAACTCATAACTGGCTCATGGGAATGATGATGTAGGAAAACTGATAAAAAGCAAGTATTATGGTTAGATATTGCCTTAAGCTGCAGACGCACACCCACGTATGGGATGAATATAGAAATGCCCTGCAAATGACGCAGATAGTCCTTGCAATATTGATTTCCTGACGAAGACCATAAATGGACAAGGGTCATTGAACTGTCTTAAGGGGAACTAAATCAAGTAGAACGTTTTTGTCCTCACCTGTAATGTTCTTAACACAAGGTTGAATAGGTAAAATTAGGTTCTCAAACTGACTTAAACATTCAGTGGGGGTGGGGGTGGGTGTAAGGCATGCAGATGCCCCTCACTTAACTTCATTTGAACCCTTTTCCTTCAAATCCTTAAAAAAACATAAAGAACAAAACAAAACCAAGCAAAACTTCCATCAGTGAGCCTTTCATTTTACAGTTATACTGTCTTTACCTATGGTTTAAACTTTTCTCCGCATGACCTCCACCCCTAAGCAAAATCATGGATCTGTGAGTGATACCAAGTTACATTCCAACTGTCTGCTTCCTGGAATTACTAGCACTGTGCATTATTAACCATGATGGAGTCATTCCATTTATTATATTAAACTGCATTCAAACTCCATAATGGTATTTATTATGACTTTTTACCTTAATCTGAGTGCATTCACACTGTCAGCTATCTAAAGTATGAGATATTTTCTCTTTTTTGTCTTATAGGTAAAGGAGGCTCACTTCAAGGCACACCCAGACTGGAAGTGGTGCAGTAAAGACAGAAAGAAGTCCAATAGCACCCTGGGAAGGAAAGGCAGTGGCTCAGAGGAACAACGGGATGATGGGGACGAACTCATGGGTATGAAAGTTATTGTATCTTTTTCTGAACTTCTTCGTAATAAATGGTTTCTGTCACTTATATGTTTAATATGCAGTTGGGATTTTACATTTTATTTCTTTAACAAGTTCGAATCTGTTTCTGGGCTTACAATTTCTCTGAACAGATGATAACAAAGAATACATTTGTTTATCATGAATCCACAGGGTTTTTTTATTTCATTATTTTTTCTTCTGTAGGTCCGCCCCAAAGTGCTCTGCACCCTGCCCCACAGACAGTTCCCCTGCCACCCTCCACTGACACCAAGTTTGAGTTTGAGAAGAAAAGATCACAAAGCATGTCTGCTGCCATGGAGACTGCCAACGTTGCTGCCATGGAAACTACCAATGATGGACAGCCTGAACAACCACGCCCACTAAATGAGCTAGAGCAGGTAATTGTTGTTCCACATCCAGGGTTATTTGGTGGTTGTTCAATGAATTCAGCTGAACTCCTGAGTTTGTTAAAGAGAGTAAGTGGTCTCGGGATCAGCACAGTTGTGTAAATAGACTTCAAAGGTAAACCCAGTGTATGTTTTGCCTCTACTCTCAGTTTCCAAGTACAAAATGGTAAAATTGGAGCTATAAGAAGAAAAAACACACCTGCATGTACGAGTGCAAACACACACATACAAACACGCACACACACACACACTACGAGGCCCTCGGTAGCATCCAAATACCCTGAACTGCTTTTTCTGTTTTGAAACTTTTCTTTACAAGGAGGACAAGGGTAAGGAATAAATGCAGTTGTCCTTATTTTCTTGTGAGGCTGAATTGTTGGACAAACTAGACAAATCCTACTGTCCTGACAGTGACACTCATGATATCATTGAAAGAGAAAGAATTGTTTGTGTACATTTGAAATACAAGTTTTTCCCAATATCTCCTCATCCTAAAATTTTGGAACAATTATTTAACATTTCCAGATGTGTTCACAAGGTGAAAAAACCCAGAACCATTACCCACCTACCCAAGCTGTGGCAGGAACCCCAACCACCACGACAACCACAGGATCAGTTTCCATGACCAAAGAGAAACAACCGTCACAAGAGGGCAGCACAGACAACAGAAATTGCGATGATGAGGAGAGTGATGACGATGATGATGAGAGGATGATAATTTGTGAAGAGGAAGGAGTCAGTAAGTACCATAAAGAAATGTTGAGTAGAATACAGAAAAGCTGGTGATTATACGGGTTTGTGGAAACAAGAGGAGGCGTGTGAATCTGTTAATCTTATTGCATGCAGTGAGGGTACCAGCAGATTTAGTTTGAACAACCTACTATGATAGTTTCACTGTGAGTGCACTCCCCCCCCCCCCCCAAAAAAAAAACAATGTTAGCTTATGTGTAACAGATTGCATGGAGATTTGTGTAAGAAATTGAAAGGTTTATACTCTTATCTTATGAACCCCACCCAGATGGCCAGAGAGACCATATTTTTTCCTCCATAATCTGCTTAAGTAGTCTTCTTAAAATTTAGGTTTTTATGTATAACCCTTGACTGAATCCAGATTAACAAACATTTTTTACTTAAGGTGAAGAGGTGGACAAAGCAGACAACAGTGGCATAGACTTGAACTGCAAAGAACATGTCTCCGATTCCGACTCTGACAGCCAATCAGAAGATGAGGCAAGACTTCAGAATAAAGCATTTCCACAGCAACGCTTCTCTCCTGTCATGAAGTCTGTGACTGCAGCAGACATAACTGTGAGACCCAAACCAATCAAAATGCTGGCAGATTCGCCTAAATCACAGGTTGGTAGTAGTTTTAATGTCTGTGATATTTGGAGCCAAAATCTATTAGGTTCTGAGATTATTTATTTTGTTTAGTTTTGCCAACAATAATGCTGACCTGACAGAGAGTTTTATATTGAAAAAAATAGTAATCTATGTAAGGCCACACTTTTTTATTTTTATGGATGACATCCTGCGCGCGCACCGATTTTCGCCCGTTCTCCGNGTCTCCATCCCAAGCTGAAAGTGGACAAGTGCCTGCGATAGGGTCATTAAAACTACACCTTAATATTGCTCCGTACTTTAATTAATGCATAGCAGATTGGACATTATATTGATTGTTTAAAGTTGGTGTTCATGAGTATCTGGCCCTGAAATGGATTGCTGATGTTTTATTAAATGCAGTTAGGGTTGGTGGTGTATGATATAGAATTCAATTACCAGTTCACCTCAAGGAAAGTTCACTGATAGTCTCTGTGTAAATTGAATTAGTGGCCATCTAGTGGACCACTTATCTCCACTCCTGGTTCAATACTTGGCAAATGCATGGAACTTTGTCATATAGCTGTGTTCACATGAGGACTGTCTTGAGTCGTGTTTTCAGGCAAGATGGGTTGGCCCTCTTTATAAGTCTTATCTCAAGCCCCCTTTACACTGGATGGCATCCAATGCATATATCCTTTCTGCGTCTCGTAGTACGGCCCAATTTGAGAGATAAAAAAACTTTACATGCTGACAACTGGTCAATCTTTGTGCATCCATTCTGCATCCAAAGCGATGCTTGTGTCTCCTCTCTACAACCACAGCAATGCCAGTTTAATGGTCGAACGATGCAGAAAGGACACTGTTCAGTGTAACAGGGGTTTTAGCAGGCTACATGATAACTGTTAGCCTACTAATGCAGTTTAAAGTCACATGACTTTCAAGAATTACTGTGGGGGTTATCTGGATAATCACAGATATAAGAATTATAATAATTTTATTGTCTGTATGTTAAACTGTTTCTAAACAAAAGTGTATTGGGGTTCGGTCCTTATGAGATAGGTTGAGCCAACTTCACGGGAAACACAGCTTTTGACTAAAATTAGTTTCAGTAGTATTATCAGTTGATGTTCAAATATTGGTACACATGATTTTGAACTTGACAAAAATATATTTTTCTATTTTTCCTGAAATTTTTTTTTTAACACTCATTTCTTATAATGAGTCCATTACTGAGAAGACATGTCAATAAAACCACATTTGTTAAAATTATGGGATTTTCAAACAAGGTTATTTATTCCAATGTTTCAAAGGAATTCACATGTAAGAATAAGTTCTAAGCATTGTTTATCTTTAAAAAGATTTAATTTAAAAAATGGTGAATTAAAAAAAATGAATACAACAAAAATCCCATGCACTAGAAGACCCTTTTATTACGAGCATTTTTTTTTAACCATCATTGGAATGCAGCTCATGTACATTAAACATCAATGCACAATACCTGCATAAAAAAAGTTTGTGGTCTTATGTCACTGTGTATACTATACATTCTATAAATAGTATCCATGGCAACATAGCAAGAGCTTTTAGTAGGTGGCAGTATTATGTAGAACACTAAACATGGTTGCCACCTGTTGATGTATTTGGCAGGTCAAGTGCAGCTAAAATATAGTCTGAAAAGAATTTCATCAGCTGTGTTATGTTATTAGAATAAGGCAATTTTTCTTCAATCGGCAGCTTAATATTGAAATAGTTTACCTCCAGTATTATATATTTTAAGAGGTTACATATTCACTTGGATAGCCTCATTCCCTGATGAAGATGTTCTGTTAGACATCGAAATATTGAAGGTAAACTATTTCAGTATTAAGCTGTTGATTGAAGAAAAATTACTTAATTCTTAGCTAAAATATGGTTTTGGGAAACATAAGTAAATCAATTTTTGCTGGAGTTCTTTCCGTGATAATCATATATATTATGTCCAGTAAATCCACTTGTAAGAATGCAATTGGCTTTAGTTTCACTGTGCTTATTGATGTAGTCAGACAAGATCGATTTGGACTGGTTTAGGTCTAAATGGCATCCACAAGTAGCACAATTACTCCAGGTCTCCAGTCATTTGTTAAATCAGAGACTCATATTTTGCAGCACTTACAAAAGAGGAAGAAGAGGAGGAGGATGACGATGTGTTTGTGACAGCTCCAGTCGAGCCCATATCCCTGTCCCCTTCAAAAAGGCGCTCACAATCTCTTAGTGCACTTAAAGAGCAAGGGGAACCAAAAAGTCCAAGAAAGGTACATGTTCTTTTAAGTTGGAGTCATGCTGGCATTTCTAAATGTTTTTGTGGACTGCAGTGATCATAGACGTTTTATAACTAGTGCTTTCAAAGGACACAGAGACCCCCCGCCCCCCCAAAAAAAAGTTGATGGTTCTGTCAGAGCAGGGGTTGTGACATCCATTTTTCTTCTTTTTATTTCATCTTAACAATTTTTCACTACAAAATTATAACTGAAAAAATTGATGAGAAGGACTAAGAAAATAGAAAAGGGATTTGATATATTAGCCAGACGCATATTGTATTGTAAACTAATTTGGGTGAATCAAAAAAAAAATTAACAGCTAATATTAAATGTTTCAGAAACTGCATGTGTGAATTAGATATTAACCAAATTTCATCAATTTTCATCACAGATCAAAGAGAAGGATCACATTCGTCGTCCAATGAATGCATTCATGATCTTCAGCAAACGTCATCGTGCTCTCGTCCATCAGCGACATCCAAATCAAGACAATCGCACAGTGAGCAAGATTTTGGGAGAGTGGTGGTACGCTCTTGGTCCGAGAGAGAAGCAAAAATATCATGATTTAGCTTTCCAGGTAAGAATTCTGCCTGTAACTGGAAACTGATATTCGAAACTTGGTGACATCTTGCATTTTTCTACAAAATACATTGAAGAGAATGTATCATGGAAATTGTTTTCCGTATGAGTTATCAACTTTTTTGTTGACCTTGGTGATATATTTCTTTTTTGGCAAAGTAGGCACATTTCTTGTGTCACGCAAAAAAAAAAAAAAGAAAATGGTTTCTGAAAAGACTGAGTGTGTGTTTCTACCTGTGAGCAAGAACTCATAACTGGCTCATGGGAATGATGATGTAGGAAAACTGATAAAAAGCAAGTATTATGGTTAGATATTGCCTTAAGCTGCAGACGCACACCCACGTATGAGATGAATATATAGAAATGCCCTGCAAATGACGCAGATAGTCCTTGCAATATTGATTTCCTGACGAAGACCATAAATGGACAAGGGTCATTGAACTGTCTTAAGGGGAACTAAATCAAGTAGAACATTTTTGTCCTCACCTGTAATGTTATTAACACAAGGTTGAATAGGTAAAATTAGGTTCTCAAACTGACTTAAACATTCAGTGGGGGTGGGGGTGGGTGTAAGTCAGGGCATGCAGATGCCCCTCACTTAACTTCATATGAACCCTTTTCCTTCTAATCCTTTAAAAACATTATAAAGAACAAAACAAAACCAAGCAAAATTTCTATTAGTGAGCCTTTCATTTTACAGTTATACTGTCTTTATCTACGGTTTAAACTTTTTTCCACATGACCCCAAGCCCTAAGCAAAATCATGGATCTGCGAGTGATACTGAATTATATTCCAACTGTCTGCTTCCTGGAATTACTAGCACTGTGCATTATTTACCATGATGGAGTCATTCCATTTATTATATTAAACTGCATTCAAACTCAATAATGGTATTTATTATGACTTTTTAGCTTAATCTGAGTGCATTCACACTGTCAGCTATCGAAAGTATGAGATATTTTCTCTCTTTTTTGTCTTATAGGTAAAGGAGGCTCACTTCAAGGCCCACCCAGACTGGAAGTGGTGCAGTAAAGACAGAAAGAAGTCCAATAGCACCCTGGGAAGGAAAGGCAGTGGCTCGGAGGAACAACGGGATGATGGGGACGAACTCATGGGTATGAAAGTTATTGTATCTTTTTCTGAACTTCTTCGAAATAAATGGTTTCTGTCACTTATATGTTTAATATGCAGTTGGGATTTTACATTTTATTTCTTTAACAAGTTTGAATCTGTTTCTGGGCTTACAATTTCTCTGAACAGATGATAACAAAAATACCTTTGTTTATTATGAATCCACAGGGTTTTTTTTTCTACTATATCACCCCATTTCCATAGATTAGATCGACCTAACTCCCTGGGGGTTCACGCTAAATGGCTGTCAGCCAGGCGGACACGAAAGTTAATTACCCCCTTACAGCTTGTAGAAGGCGGGACGGACATTTAAGTCGGATTATCTGAAAGTAATCTAGTGAGACTCCCCGCGGGGATAGATCGATCTAAAATCTATGGGAATAGAGCCTATTATTTTTTCTTCTGTAGGTCCGCCCCAAAGTGCTCTGCACCCTGCCCCACAGACAGTCCCCCTGCCACCCTCCACTGACACCAAGTTTGAGTTTGAGAAGAAAAGATCACAAAGCATGTCTGCTGCCATGGAGACTGCCAATGTTGCTGCCATGGAAACCACCAATGATGGACAGCCTGAACAACCACGCCCACTAAATGAGCTAGAGCAGGTAATTGTTGTTCCACATCCAGGGTTATTTGGTGGTTGTTCAATGAATTCAGCTGAACTCCTGAGTTTGTTAAAGAGAGTACGTGGTCTCAGGATCACCACAGTTGTGTAGATAGACTTCAAAGGTAAACCCAGTGTATGTTTTGCCTCCACTCCCAGTTTCCCAGTACAAAAGGGTAAAATTGGAGCTAGAAGAAGAAAACACACACCTGCATGTACGAGTGCAAACACACACAAACACAGACACACCACGAGGCCCTCGGTAGCATCCAAATACCCTGAACTGCTTTTTCTGTTTTGAAACTTTTCTTTACAAGGAGGACAAGGGTAAGGAATAAATGCAGTTGTCCTTATTTTCTTGTGAGGCTGAATTGTTGGACAAACTAGACAAATCCTACTGTCCTGACAGTGACACTTATGATATCATTGAAAGAGAAAGAATTGTTTGTGTACATTTGAAATACAAGTTTTTCCCAATATCTCCTCATCCTAAAATTTTGGAACAATTATTTAACATTTCCAGATGTGTTCACAAGGTGAAGAAACCCAGAACCATTACCCACCTACCCAAGCTGTGGCAGGAACCCCAACCACCACGACAACCACAGGATCAGTTTCCATGACCAAAGAGAAACAACCGTCACAAGAGGGCAGCACAGACAACAGAAATTGCGATGATGAGGAGAGTGATGACGATGATGATGAGAGGATGATAATTTGTGAAGAGGAAGGAGTCAGTAAGTACCATAAAGAAAAGTTGAGTAGAATACAGAAAAGCTAGTGATTATAGGAGTTTGTGGAAACAAGGTGTGTTAATCTGTTAATTTGATTGCATTCAGCGAGGGTACCAGCAGATTTAGTTCGAACTACCTAGTATGATAGTTTCACTGTGAGTGCACCCCCCCCCCCCAAAAAAAAAAAAAAAACAGTGTTAGCTTATGTGTAACAGATTGCATGGAGATTTGTGTAAGAAATTGAAAAGCTTATGCTCTTATCTTATGAACCCCACCCAGATGGCCAGAGAGACCATATTTTCCCTCTATAATCTGTTTTAAGTAGTCTATTTAAAATTTAGGTTTTTATGTATAACCCTTGACTGAATCCAGATTAACAAACATTTTTTACTTAAGGCGAAGAGGTTGACAAAGCTGACAACAGTGGCATAGACTTGAACTGCAAAGAACATGTCTCCGATTCCGACTCTGACAGCCAATCAGAAGATGAGGCAAGACTTCAGAATAAAGCATTTCCACAGCAACGCTTCTCTCCTGTCATGAAGTCCGTGACTGCAGCAGACATAACTGTGAGACCCAAACCAATCAAAATGCTGGCAGATTCGCCTAAATCACAGGTTGGTAGTATTTTTAATCTCTGTGATATTTAGAGCCAAAATCTATTAAGTTCTGAGATTATTTATTTTGTTTAGTTTTGCCAACAATAATGCTGATCTGACAGAGAGTTTTATATTTAAAAAAAAAAGTAATCTATGTAATCATGCTAAAAAATTGCCAGACATTATTTTGTATATTTCAAAACATTTTAGGGTTCTCCTTCCATGGAGGATATCCCAAGACCTTCTTCAAATGGAAGCGTTTTCCAGCCGAAGGGAGCCGTCTTTAAAGCCCATGCACCCAAAGTGAGACCTGAATCTGCTGGCCAACAGTTGTCACCACAGACTACAGTGGCCCCCTCTACTCCCAAGACAACCCCAGTTAAATCTATCCATAATATTACCATGACAACCCAAGACAAGCAGCATGTCATTGTGCAGTCTAACACAGTACAGGCTGTGGGACCAGGCAACATGGCGGATAAGGGAGCCATTATGCAGAAAATGACACAGGTCAGTAAAAACACAGGATTGTGTTATTACTTTTATCTATTATTATTAGATTGATTTTATTTGGATGTCAAGTTTCATGAAAACCCGTCCTCTTGCATCTTGCTGTGGCTTATTTAGACATGCTACTAGTAGCTGCTTGTCCCAGCGGGAACTTATTTGAATGTCTATGACTGCAATAAGATATGGTTTATGGATTCCAATTGTTTGACCTTTTTTTCTCACTTGTCCGAAAAAATACAAGTGTGAGGATAATTTTTAAGAGAAGAAAATCATCCTATTTTGGTGCTTCTTATATTCTTTGTACTTACAATTATTGAAATTATCAAAATATTATAATTTCTCTATTACTTATTTCCTATGTGACTAATATTCATGATATTTCTTCACAACTATAGGTGTCGCCCAAGCCAACTAAGATGAGCCAAGCCAAGGCAGCCACCTCCTCTCCACAATTGCCACAGCCATCTGCGGTGAAATCAGGCCCTATTCCCATAGCCTCAAAACCACTGACCCCTCGACCCAGTCTGCCCAACAGCCCAGGAGTGGTCAAGCAGCCCCCAGTCAGTTTGGCTGGTCAGACTATACTGCCCAATACACAGAAACTAGGGGCATTTTTGGTGCCAGGGCCAGCTCCAGGGATGGCCATTATAAATCCATCTGTAGTGACCACCACAGCCAAGAGCACAGCAGCTAATGTCCAGAGTCCGAGTTTCATTACGGCCACGTTGAGGAATATTGCCCCATCACAGGCTGCAAACACACAAAACCAGGCACCGGCCATGTTGTCCTATTCTGTGTTGAGGCCACAGCAGGGCGTTTTGGCAACGGGGCAAAATCAGACAGTCACACAGGCTTTGAATTTGAACCAGCAGGGGGCACCACGTGCTGGGGCAACCCTTCAGTATATTTTGCCCTCCGTAACTTTGCAGCCTGCGCAGGGGAATAAGATTGGGAATGTGTTACACATGACTCTCCCGGGGACCTCCAGTAACATCCAAGTGCTGCCTTTTCAAGGAACATTCACCACCCAGCAGCAACTACAGCAAGCAACCAAAATGGCCGTGACCTCTGCACCAGCCAAAGGTCAAGGTCAAGCTGTCCAGACCATTCCTGGGATGGCATCTCAGACGCTGCAGATTCTCAACCAAACAATGAATGGCAATTTGGGGAAACAACAGGCCATGCCCATAGTTGGGTCACAGCTTGTCACCATCACCCAGCCTAGTGTGTCCGTGGCAACACCTAAGCCACAAATGCAGGTGGCCTCTCCTGGAGTTGCTATGGCAACCATGTCACAGGCAGGGTCACATTTCTTCTTGCCTGCCTCACAGACGTAAGTGCACTATTTATGGTCTTAAATCTAATGAATTTTACATAAAATCTTGTAAGCACCAACAAACTTTTTCTTTTTGATATCTATTTAATATTTAAAATAATCTTGTTCTATTAATTTATTGTGTGTACATTTACTTCACTGGAAGTTTCAAATTATACTTCTTTTTTACCATTTTTACAGGAATATCAAAATCTCATTATAATTCAGTCTCTCTGAATATCCTGTTTATTGCTGCAGTCTAACTTACCAATCCTTTTCATTCCTTTCAGATTCACATACATCCAGCCGCCCCAGTCGCCAAGTGTAGCCATAGCAACTACACCCGTTGCCAAGACAGCAGAACAAGCAGGTTGGAGTCCTGGTCTCTTTCAGGCCTACTTTACTCTCCCTCCATCAGGTAGCTTGGTTCTCCAGGCCTGTGCATGGAAAGCTTGCTGAAATTGTGGAGGCCTTAGTGTGCATTTTGTGTATTTTGAATGACCAGCACTTATTAGTTATCCACTAGTCCCCCAAGGAAAAAAAAAATATTTTTTTAGATCTCAAGTGGCTCCTCTCATATTTAGTTAATTAGGAAACAAATATCTTCAAAGACTTCCCAACAGACAGTCACTTTTTAATTTGTTAATTGACTGAATTGTGCATGGAGGAATTTGAGCATGTTGTGATTTTGGATGAAGACATTGATTTTGAGAAAACTCCTTTCAAATACATACAGTAAAAATCAGCAGCAAATAACTAATGTTACAGTATTCTAAAACATTCACAGTTAGTGATGCACATAAAATTTGTCTTGATTAAATCCTCTCAGTCAAGAGAACTACAACTTTAAATGAAATCCCCTATATAATAAGAAAGCCACGGTGACAGTTAAAATCCACCATAGTGTACACGCTAAGGTACCCTCCCTCTATTTTTTCCTGTTGGCAATGGCAAAATTTTGAGTTATTAAAAAATTTCAGTATCAAAAAAAAAAACAATTTTATCTTGTTTTCCCCTACTATTATTTATTGTAAACTGCATGTCTATAGATTTGCCAACAGATGTTGCTGTATTTCAAGACAGTACCTCTATGTGCTTCCATGCCAGGCTTGATGTAGGTAGGAGAGGATTTAGAATTTAATGCATGTCTTGTTGTCAAGTTCACATTTGTTCAGGTAGTATATCTATTGTTTGCATGTTTTTATTATAATTTTATTACTATTATTATTTATTTATTTATTTATTTATTTATTTTTGTATGTGATATCTTATTTTACTAGATATTTTCATTGTATGTATGTTGTTGAACAATTTATGCAAAAAATGTGTCATTATTTTAATGGAATTAGCAACAATAACATGATACCAATCATATTTATATGAAGCTGATACCATGACTAAGCTTAAAATAAATATTGGATCTAAAATATAATCTCTGTTGGCTAATTCTCATACCTTTTTGTGCAATGTGAATTAAAATAAATGTTGATATTGTTTTAAAAATATGCTGTCATTAAGTATCTTGCTTTCTCTCTTTAATCAAGTCCACACAACTGGACAACCAGGCCAACAACAGGTGCTCCACTCTGGCCAAACTGGACATCAAATTGTCCAGAGTGGTCAGCAGCTAGTTCACACTGGTCAGCAACTAGTCCAGGCCACAGCTAGCAGTGGTCAGCCACAGCTGGTGTTACAGCCACAACAGTCTAAGTCCCCAGGGATGGTAATAGCCAACTCACAACCCGCCGCTGCCACCGCTGCATTTGTTCCCAAGTTGCCGCTACCTAAAAGTCAGGGGCAAGGGGCACAGAGTCCAGCTTTTTATCAAGGTAAGATTTTCAAACTTGATAATAGTGCTGATATATATATATCCCTTGTGTAGTTCCTGCTTCCAAATGCATATTTTTGGGATATGCTAGCTTTTGTTTGCTTGTTTAGGCCATATTCCTTACATTACCACCAAATGGATGATAAACTAGCCAGATAAATCTTTTTTGTTGTTGTTGTTGTTGTTGTTGTTGTTGTTGTTTTCAGAATAATTTGTGAACTAGAAAGTGGTGGGCAAAGAAAGAAGCAGGAAAAGATCTCTAATGTTTATACTTTTATTTTCTGTGACAGGATGAAACCTTGAAAGGATCAGAGTTTGTTTCCAAATAAAGAATTCAAATTGGGTTGAAATAAGTCCTATATAAAATTAATACTTCTGAATATCAAGGTGTGATGAATATCAAGTCTCCAAAAGTTGTTTCCATGGCATCATCTGAGGGGAAAACAGACATTGGTTATGTGAGTAGTATGACATCAACTCAGAAACCAACCAGAATCAAGGCGTCTGTGGCCACCATTCCTGTTGGAACTGATGTGATCACAAAGGCAACCACAGTGCAAAGTAAGAATGTGGTGTTATGCAGCAAGTGGACCAACAGCCACATGAGCAACAGAATTTTGAATCTAAAAGTTTATTTTGAAAGTTTAAAGCTGTTCTTTATATTAAATTTAAACACACAAAAAATATTTTGAAGACAACACAGAAAACATATGTAGTAGTCTACAAATTTTTAATGAATCAGATGGGTCTGCATGCAATACATTTAAAGGAAATCTGCTTAAAAATCAGATTAAAAAAACATCTTTTTATGCAAATAAATACTATAAAATTATAGCCCAAGATAAGATATCATGGGTGCCCCCATCTCAGTATCACAACTCTTATATTTATATATTTCACTTAAAATGTCCCTATAGGCAGCTGCACAGACACACAAACTACAGCCACTTGTAAGTACACCAGATCCAGCCCAGCAGAGGCCTCCACCTGCAAGATACAGCAACAAGAAAAGCCCACTCCAAGAGAGGAAAGATCCAAAGACCTTGAAAGGTCAGAGGTCAAGGATGAAGGTCATGGTGAGGATGCTGAAAGGAGGGATGATGGAGATGAGAAGCCTCAGAGGTCTTGTAAGGGAAAGAGGTACAAGGAAATTGTGGCAGAAAGTGGACTTAATGCCTTGAAGAAGGAAAGAAAGGTGAGT